GCTGGGTGTGGTGGCGGGCGCCTGTAGTCCCAGCTACTCAGGAGGCTGAGGCAGGAGAATGGTGTGAACCCGGGAGGCGGAGCTTGCAGTGAGCAGAGATCGGGCCACTGCACTCCAGCCTGGGGTCAAAAAACAAAAAAACAAAAGAATTCCAGGAAGCTAAGTCAAAGGACAACTGGGAGATATTTGTAACTGAAAAAGGACTGACATCTAGCATTTATAATAAATAACAAAAAAGATACTCTTACAAAACAATGGGAAAAAAGAGAATTTAAAAGCAGATTTGAATATACAATTCTCAAAACAGAAAACCAAGAAGCAGGCCGAGTGCCATGGTTCACACCTGTAATCCCAGCCCTTTAGGAGGCTGAGGCAAGCAAACTGCTTGAGGTCAGGAATTCAAGACCAGCCTCGGCAGCATGGTGAAACCCTGTATTCCCAGTTACTCAGGAGGCTGAGGTGGGAAGATCACCTGAGCCCAGGAGGTCAAGGCTGCAGTGAGCCATGATTGTGCAGCTGCACTCCAGCCTGGGTGACAGCGCGCCAGACCCGGTCTTAAACAAAACAAAAAAACAAAAACAAAACACTCTGAAAAATAATTTGGCATAATCCTATGATCCCCACAATTCCACTCCTAGATATTATACCCTAGAGAAATCCCAAGATTCCAAATACCTGATGCAACACATCACAACAATGTAGTAACAGAATTATTTACAACAGCACACAACTGGCCATAAGCTAAATGTGTCACTGTGATAGAATGGATAAAGAGCTTCGTGCTCAAAGGAATACCACAGAGCAGTGAAAATCAAACCAACTCAGCTGCAACTTGGATGAAACTGTCAAGGTGTCCACCAAAAGGACACATGCACGCCGCACACAAAATACACTATGATACCATCACACTAAGTCCAAATCAGGCAATCAAGCTGTGCCATTCAGGGGTGCATAAATAATTGCTAACACCGGGGAGATGGTACAGAAATGCTCACCTTTCCAAAATGAGGGAGGGGAAAGTAAGAAGGCTGTGATTACCAATGGGAGGCTTCCAAGGAACAGGCATGGTTCTGTATCTCCACCTGTGTGAGGATCACAGGGGTGGCTCACGATGCTACTATTATTCGTGAAACTGAACAAAAATGCACTTTTCCATACATGTCATATCTCAATAAAAAACAATTACAACCTATAATATAATACGCCAGTAGCCGGGAACGTTTAAACAACCACGGGGCTTCAATAGTCTGCAAAACTACTTGGTTTATTTCGCACGGAAAGAGATACAATATAACATCGAGGAAAAAGAAAACAAACCTCACACACCCACTCATTGGAATGACGCCAAACGGCGTGCAGAAAAGAGTAAAATGGACATACAGCGCTCCGGGCGACCGGGGTCTTTGCGAGGTGAGAACAAGAAAATGCAGTCAGCGGACACTGGAGCTACAGAGCACAGGCCGCCCCTTCCTCACGTGGGTTTCTCTCGGGACCCCCGCCCTCGCCCAGGGCACTGGGGCTGCGTCCCCGACGGGAGA